AGCCGGACGCCAAGGAACCTCAGGGTAGTATAGCGAGTATCAGCAAATGTCTGCACCCTTGTTGAAACCACAACGGTTAGAACTGTAGGCTCTCTTCCTTCCTCTCTCCGACGGCGTTCAATGGGCATCCTTCCTTCAAAACGAGCCGGTGGCACGTGGTGCATTTCGATCATCGGGCGTGCCCGGCGCTGGGTGGGGAATTTCGGGTGCAAACAGATCCAGGAATCATGTGCAGCATTGTGCAGCATTGCGCAGCAGGACACGGGCGCTCCTGCGGGCGCTTCCGGCTCCACTGGTTGAAGTTTGGAGGAACAGTGCCGAAAGGGATATGAGTCCAAAAGAGTACAAGCGCAATGAGATCAACGAAAAGCGGCCAGCCGCAATGAAATCAACGAGAAGCGATTACGAAAGGAGGCCCCATCATCTATCCCCACAGCTGACTCGAAATCATCTGTACTCCAAACTCAACACCTTAAACCCTCACTCCGGCAACCCTTGCACAACTGAGCTCCCTGCTTGGGATTTGCTTTTCGCAGGCCTCTCTCGATGTCCGGAACCTTGCCTGAGCCGTGCTCCCCCAAGCCCTTGAGCTATCTTGAGCCCCTTCAGCAATGACATTCCTACATGACTACATGGAGAATACCAGATGTGTGTTTGAGATGCTGGACTGCCAGAAGCGTGCAGGCACCGGAAGCGAAGAGGGCTTCGACATGAGTAGCAAAACTATTGTTACCACTCCCAGCCCACATGGCGATGCCAGGTGGCTAATCAGGACCATGTTGATCATGCAGAGAAGCGTGACGAAGCCTTGATGCCAGTGAAGGCATACTTTACAACAGGCTGTCTTGCTGATGGCCCAAACCAAACCCTAAACCCCGAACACCCTGCTCCCCTCGAACCGCTACATGTACACCAAAGACAAGAAAGAAAAGAGTGCTTCTTTCAGAATCTGGACACTGAAAATGGTGGCCACCTGGTGTCTTGAGTGGAATCTTAAGGGCTTAGGAATTAACTGTAGGATGAGGACCCGGGATGCGCAGGAAGCAGGGTTTGGCCAAAAGTGGGGCCGCAGTGGCCCGGAGCTGAACCCCTGCACCTTCAGACTTGTTCGGACTCAAAAACTCTGAAGGGCCTTTTTGTTCTCTCTGAGTAGGGACGTTTAGACATTGACTTGAGCTTCAGGGCTTTTAAGCTGCTGCGGTTGGGGTTTAGGACCTGAAGAGGGCCTCGGGCGGGGCCACAAACAAAAATCCTCCACCTTCGGGGTCGATTTACAAGTGCGCTGACGGTGCCCAGAACGGGCCTTGCTGAGCACTTTCTGCTGGATCAACTCTGCCTGCAGCTTGGGTCGAGTCCGTTCATGAGACATCAACAAGTTTTTGTACACTGAAGTCCAACACCTTTCCGATTTCGGGTCGAGTCGGGTCGAGGATGGTCGAGGGGTGAAGGGAGACGCTAAGCCGCTCAGGCCCTACTACATAAGCGTCCACAAAGATCCCCTAAGATCCTCTGAGGCTTTGACGTGAGCACCCCTCTCTGCGCATGCCCTGAATGCCCGGCCTTGTCGTGGTACTCAGGCATTTCAGACAAATACGTCACCTGAGCTTCCGCAGTTTCGGGTGGTCAGCCTTTCCTTGGGCATTGATGGGGTCTCTCGGAATCTGGTGAAAAGTTTAAAGGTACGTGCTCGAATGTTTCAAGTAAGCACTTCCGGTGGTGACCAAAACACGTCATGTGGTCCTCACAACCTGCAAACTGTCATAGGCACCTACTTTTCATGGTGCTAATATTTCTAGCAGTAGAGCAGCAATGGAACTAAGTACACGGTCCTTATCTCGCCGTGTACTTTTCAGAAGCGTCCGTCCAGTGCTTCACGGGCCTCAGGCATAAAACTATCCTGGTTTTGCTGACCTAGCTTTTCCAGCGAGCTTCTTTGTTTCGTGTACGTTTCCGGTGATTGGCTTGCTTTGGACGGCTGATGCCCTGCAGAACGGATGCAGCAGCATGGACATTGTTACCAAGTCCAAGGCGAGATTGGGACGGTGGACAAAGCTACAAAAACTAAACCACTCTGGGGTCCACCATGGTCCAAGCATGTCCAAGCCCTCCGCCATTCTGACTCTGCTGCATCTCAGATGCAGCGGAAGTGTCGGCACTGGAGCACTTGGTTGACCTATATTCTGCACTTTAAACGAGTATGTTAACTCTCACACAGAAGAAGCACCGCAACAAACGAATGCAACCCAAGCCGCAGCAATGTCGAAGGCGGTGCGCAGCACACCAATGAACACAAATGCGTAGACGCCCTGCACAGAGGCATAGGCAACAGGCCTCATGTACCTCGGCTGAGAGTCAGGAGCCTGCTCATCACAGCACCACAACCCGTGCAGCAAGTCGTGCAGTCGAGAACCCCGAAAAGCCTCCAAGCGCCTCGGAAGCCAGAATGCAAGTCCGCCAGTATTCGGCGACCCCCCAAGCCAGTCCATGAACTCCAGGGTTTAAACAATTTTGGGTTTTCCATTCTTGCAGTGGATTTTCTGGTCGGCACCTGGCCACCTCCCTCACTAACCCCGTCGACATGACCGATACACAGCAGTTGGTTACAGCACATTTGCAACATGTTGCAACACATCAACCTTTAGATCTTACAGTACAAGGCCCTGAACCCTAACTCGGGAACCAACCAGCCCCCGCCCCAAGAGCCCAGTATGGGCATGAGGATATGAAGCTTGAGGAATTTTGGGTTGAAGGCTTCGGGGATTGGGGTTTGAGATGGGGGGTAGCGAGTTTGGGCGGACAAGCCTGATTCAAAACCCTTACCACATGAGTGCAACGACAAAAGGTTCAGCTGTTGGACTCTTCGATCGACGCTTGCGGCGAGCCGTCCGTCCGGGCAACGACCATCTCTGAGTGGCGGAGGAAGCCTTGGCTTTAAGGGGATTGTTCTGTGATTGTTGTGTCTTATGCTGGTTATGTCCTTCTCTTTCTGGGTGTCCATGAGTTGTTTTGGCATGCTCGGAGTTGCTTAGATGTACACAGGCTTGGTGAATTCCCAACCTGTTAAAACCTAAGTGATCAAGGACTGTTGGAGAGGAATGACTTTGCAAAGAAGCTGTTGAGTGCAGGCGTGCGTTTTAGGATGGTTTGCTGGCCAAAACAGAAAATGGCTTTCAAGGGTTCAGGAAGTGAACCCCACGATTCAGGAGTCTAACAGGAAACTTGCCGATTCAGAAAACAGGACAGGTCCCGTTCACCATTCAGGCAAGCGCTCCGGACACTGCTTGAGGGAGGTTGGGGGGGACTGATGGCAGGATTCCGTTCCTTTCGGCGTGACGGTGCTTCTTGCTTGGCAAGCACTTCCTGAACCCTGCGGAAGGGTTTTGCGATGTTTTGTGGAGGGTGTTCCCGAAAATGAGCTTCTCCTGCGCGAGGAGCTGGTGCAAAGGAGGCCGAACATCAGGCAGGCATAGAACTGGAAAGCAACCTTCGATTTGATCGGCTTGGTCGGCGGCTTCCGAGGCTTCCGAGGCTTTCGGATCGGCTTCCGAGGCTTTCGGATCGGCTTCAGGCTCCGAGGAATTGAGGAAGTGCATGTCAGCTACGGAAAAGGCCGACACGAACATCCGCGAACACTCAAAAGAATCTGATCTGGCCTCTTTGAGGCGTTGGGTCCCTAAACCCTGAGTCCTAAACCCTGACTCCTAAACCCAGACGTTGGGGAAAAGCTTTAGATTTCAGAGTCTGGTCATCCGAAATCTGCCGAGCAGTATTTCATGTGATTTTCAAGAGTTCCAGCGAATGACGGGCCTGTTGTCCAGAGGCCCCCTGCCTGCGAGGAGGCGCTTTGAGGGGCCCTGAAAGCCATTCTGAGACCGACCGCCAACCCAAACATCCCAAACATCCCAAACATCCCAAACATCCCAAACCAGAGGTGTTTCATGCTGGCTTGGGGCTGCGGGCCTCCGCCTTGAGGCCCAAAGCTGTTACTTCCCCCTTGTGGCCCAGGGGCGCTCAACTCCAGGTCCATCTGGTACGTCGCCTAGGCCGTTAAGGTCCTCCAGATTTGGGGTCTCCATATGAACTTGAAACTTGCAACCTGACCTTGTTGACATTTCTACTCCTCCAATTCCTGATGCCAACAGGCGGATGTGACTCAGTCGCACTCGGACCCCCGCCAACTCCAGTCGGACCACTTCGTCCTTGGAAACTTGGTCCAGTATGTGAGTACTGCGGTCTTACTCTGCAAAGTCAGATGACATGGGCAGCTTTGACAATTCTAGTCCCTTGTTGGGAGCCCCAGATATAAGCTCCAGATTCTCATGGGAATCCCAAAAAGACTGCAAATTCGAGAACTGATGCTGCAGACACAAAGATCCTGACAACATCTAAACCCCAAAGACTCAACCAAATTGCTCCTAAAGTCCAAAGCTTGCAACGAAGCTCGCATGCGAGGCCTTCTCGGTGCACTGCGCGCGTTAATACAAGTCGTTCACAAACCCCAAAACCCCAAAAACGCCTCAGCCTTCAATCCTACATCCCAAAGAACATACAAACCTGGACACCCTCGACCCTACACAAAAACAACCTGCAACCCCGCTACTGCGCCCTTGAACCTACCTAGAGCCCTAAACCTGAAACCTTCAAACCTGGACCCTAATTCCCGACCTCTGCACACAAAACCCTCGGATGGCTTGTTGCAAACAAAAACCTTCTGAATCCATGTCAGCATAATTGCAGACTCGTTTCCCAATCTGCACCTGGGTGATAAGCGCTTCCTGTCATCACAGTCCAGATTCGAATCAGGGATCGCATCGACATCACCTTTGGCCGGCATAATGGGGCGAAGCAAAGCATCAGGACGGCGTGGGGTGGAATTGAAAGGGAAGAGCAACTGAAAGAAAAGACTAAGGCAATCTCGAAAGTCCGGGGCACTCTGATTCCGTAAGCCCCAAATCTTGATGGGTGCGAAATAACTGGTCGCAAATAATCACGAACCCTGTTCAGTGCCAGGCCACAATGAAGATCAGAGGCGTGCCGAGGATGATGACCACCTTCGACTGCGAGCTTAGGTCTTAAGGCCCCTTAGGGCCTCGGGGAGTCTTGGAAAGTGGCCTCACGAACACCTGCAGCTTTCAAGTCAGTCCTAAAGTTCCTAAAGTCACGAAGTCACGAAGTCCCCGACATCCCCAAAAGCCAACGCCCAAGCTGGGCCCCCGCGCCCACTCCAACCTCGGAGCCAACTTCCAAGGTAGCGCCTCTCGCTCCCTGGCCTCCACGCGAACGTCCTCCGGATTCGGGCAATTGAGGGTTGCAAGTTTATGGACCGGGGCTTTCATGACAAGTATGAGCCTCAACGCCCAGAGGGGTCTTAAAAACAAGCGGACTGACGCCAAGCTCGAAGAGCCGTGTGACGGCTCGCAGCCTTCCGTAACATTTGTGAACCATGGAGCCTAGAGAGCTTCAGCCACTTCAACTTCAGCCACTTCAGCCGCTTCAGCGCCTCGTTGGTGCCTTGTGCTACGCTGCGGTTCAGCTCGACAAAGCCTTAGCTGTACGTAGAGCTTTGGGTCTTGCTGAGTCTTGCTTCTTGTTCTACAGCCGAAGAGGGCTCAGAGCCCCCTCAAAATCAAAACCATTCAGAGTTCCGCCAAAACCCCTGGACCGAGGAACTCCATAATCTCAGCGTGAGCACCACAAAGCCAAGGAGGCCGAACACCTGAAAATGCTGCAGGGCTTGGGACAGAGGCTTAGGGCTCAGGATTGCTAGTAGACCCCTTCATAGGGACATCTCGCGTTCTGTTCGCGGCAGGTGTCGGCAACACTCAACGTTGTTCAGCCTACACAAGCAACAATTCTAATCATGTTTATTCGAGGACTGTCTGGCTTCAAAAACTTGCCCCACTGACCATGGCTGTCTTGTCCTTACTAAGACTATACATAATCCTACACATGAACCTCCGAAGCCCCTACTTACACAAATAGACCCGCTTTAAATCCAGCCATTTTTCCGGATCCCTCCGTCTTCTCTGGCTTTGCCCATTCGTTTCTTAAACGGCCCTAAACCCGCCATACCCGCCTCTGCAGCCCAAGCAAACCTACTCTTGGATGCAGTCACTAAATGCTTTCGGTGCTGAGTTTGAAGACATCACACAATATCACACATCTACACACCTCCTAAGGACCAAACCTGAAGTTGCCCTCCATCCTAAGAATGCCCCCCCCAAACCCTGACTTCCAGAGAGCGTGAGCATTAGCCCCCCACCCGAACCGAAAACACAAAAAAACACCTGAATGGGGCCCAGTCGCGGGTGCCAGCAGAGAGAGGGCATGCAGCCAAGGCGGGATCTTCAGCTCTTCCCTGCAACGTGGCTTCGACGAATGACAGAGGCCATAGCTCCAGGTCCAAAGGTGGACAGGGGAGGGGAGCAGAGGACAAAATGATCAACCCTGGGCGAGCTACCATGGCCCGAAGTCATGAAGACGACCAAAAAGCAGGACACGGCCACTCACACGATGTTGCCATTGCTGAGGCCCATATTTCTTCTGCGCGCACCCTGATGGTGCTGTTTCCAAGGGGTTCTGCGTGGGGGCCTGAGGGTTCAAGAAGTATAAGGTGACAGCCGGCCTCAAGTGGTGACAGTCCGCACTGTCGGCGTGGACGTGCTGAAACCCTTCACAGATGGTTCCAATCTTGTCTGCGATGATGTCCTGGCAAGAGCTTGCAGTGTTCGAAACTTGTTTAGCGGTTCAGCAGATTTAGTTGTTGAGGTGTTGTGTTGGGTGTGGCGGCGTGCAACTTCAACTTTAATAAGATGTAAAGTGGCCCGTGCAGGTGACTTCTAGGGTTGCAAGTGTGGTTTAGTGTGTGATCTGCTGCTGCTGATTTAGTCCTGAAAACAATGTGCATGTGCGGCACCCCACCCTACCCCTACCCCACCCCACCCCAACCCACCCCCACCCCACCCTCGTTCGTACGAAGTTCTTGCTGGTTTTCAAAGCTGCGCCAACATGGACGGGCTGAAACCAAGAACCCGCCGGTCCAGAGACTAACCAACACTTAAGGGACTAAGCAGGGTGTACGTGGGGTAGGAAGTGGAGAACTGAAAGAGAAGCCCGAGAAAGCTGAGCGTCGGCGTTCAGGAAGTGGTAGCCAATGTAATCGTACTTGATGATATCCCACAGGGTCCGCACCTCCGGCATGGCTGGGGATCTGAAGGACCCACATCCAGACAAATTTGGGAGGTTCCATGCCCCATCACCACAGATCTGCCGTGTTTCCACCGAGCTTCAATGCCTAGGCGGTAACTGCCCCCGTTCTCTGCATTCTGGACGGGAAATGCGTGAAACATGGTGAAACCATGCCGAGACGGCAAGCACTTGTGAGGCGTCTTTGGGTGTGGTGCCCAGGATCTGGGGTTGAAATTGCTCATGAGATCTTCTCATGTGCACGAATCTGCGCTCTCAGCAAGGCCACTTCGTACACAGCTCTTACCCAATGCATCAAACGAACGGCCGCCAACCCCGATTTTCTGAGGACCTCGGGTGCTAGCCTCTCGTGGTTGACATACCTTGGCTGTTGCAGTGGTGATGCTGCCACGAACGAAAGCCCCACCCGTAACCGCTACCCTAACCCCGAGCCCGCAAACCAGTTTCAGTTAACACCAATAAGCCCTGCATCACTTAAACCTAAAGCCTCTCCCGACCCAAAAATCCCCAGGTTGCCACTCCAGGCGAGACCAGACTGATGGCGGCACGGTATCGACATCAAGCATCCTCGGAAGGGCGCAAAAGGAGTTTGTGCAGATGGTTTCAATTGCCGGAAGGGGTTTTCGGCTGTTCACCTAGATGATGCTATGGTCCTCAGCTTGTCGAGAAAATCCGGTTTCCCCAGCATGCTGGACATCTCCCGCCAGCTGCCCACAGGTTGCTGCTGGATGATTGCCTCAACACGGGCTTGGATCCAGGACTTCGAAGCTTACTTACCTGGGTTTGCTTAATGTGCGTGTGTGTGTGTGTGTGTGTGTGTGTGTAATTTGGTGATTTGGTTCGCTATGTCGAAGGCGACTTTGGGGCAATCTGACATGCATTCGAAGTGCAACGGCCTCCATGATCAAGCAAACAACCACAGGTGGCCGAGCCATTGCCCTCACCTCTACGATAGAACGCTTGTCCAGGCAGTTCCTTGCATTTTTGCAACCCCAAGCTGGCCACTAAGGTTCAGCGGTTGGAAGATTGACGATGTTAACGCCGAAATAGAAAGCTATGTCCAAGAACCTCATCAAGATTCATTTCCTCCTGGGCCTGCTCAAGGGTGGCACGTACACGGTGGTCCAGTTCGATCTGCACATTGTCTCGGTCTGCTTGGTCTACCTGAGCCAGGTTCAATGGAGCATCCTTTGCCACACTAGAATTCAACAGACAGAAGTGTCTCCCACCCAAAGGCAAAATGCTCGAAACACCTCAAACTATCTCAAAACATTTCCAAGAATCTCAAAGCATCTCAAAGTCTCTGAAATCTCTGACTTCTGAACATGAGTTGCCTAAATTGCTGTGAGTTGCTGGCCTTTCGCTGCTTCTGAAGGAAGCCAGAGCCGAGTCCACTTTGTAGTGAAGCTCGCATTCCTATTGGAAAACTGGGGGCTTGCGGGGGGGCATATAGAAACTAAGGACCTTTGGTACACTTTGGTTGCGCAATGGGTGATCCCTGCATGTTGCGACTCACTACGACTTGCACGCAACAAGCAATCCCTGTGTTGTTGAATACAGACGCCGAAGAAGACAGGCCCCAAGAAGATACATGGCGAACACTCGTCCTTGTTTGCCGGCGAAAAGCCGCATTGATTTGGCGTGCAGCGTTTCGGCTGACAAGCCCCAAGTATCCCATTTTGTGGAAACATTTTGCTGTGTTCTGATACGGGCCAACGCATGACACTGAACCACAAGGACCCCTGATCGTGGCAAATAGTGATGCCTCTGAAGTTTTTGGGGCGACGCCAAGCTAGCCCGTCGGGCTAGAGTATCATTGAATGAGCACACCAAGCAAGTGCTCCCAAGCACTTGATGCGTGCAACACTTTGCCCCAACATCAATCTCCCCTCGGCCCGCACCCTATGAGAGCCTCAAATCCTACATCGAAACCGGAACCCCCAAATCCCGTCCACCTCCACGCAGTCGAGGCCCAGGGACTGCAGCGTCGCGTGGTAGCGTTCCTCCGCTTACTAACAAAATCTATTTGCTACGACTCGTACGGTACACACGATGCAACTCAGCAAACAAGCGTCGACAAGAAACTGCTCTACACCATCACACCCGAAACGCCAACACGTGGCGCCCTCAAGTTGCGCGCCACTAACTTTGCTGCGCCTATGAGCCACGCTCCTTCGGTTGCGCATGTACTCACTGTTTCAGGGGTGCGTGGCTTGGAAGGAAAACCATCCTGGCACGTGCCACGCATCCGTAACCACCAGATTAACAAGCACTCCGGGCAATCCAGCAACCCTGACCTGAATGCAAGCGCACGGTCGTCTTGGCGAATTTCTTTGCCGCAGTAAGCCCGTCTCCACGGACCCACTTGCAGGTCTCGATCACGTCTTTTGTGACCCAGTCGCAGGACGGATCATATGCGATGTCACAGCATGTGCACTACCCCATCGGCATCTTTGTAACTGTACAATCTGTACAATTTTCTGGCACACGCAGTTCTTGGAAGGGTGTGACGATGCCAAGATCCTATTGTTGGACTGTAGAGTCTGCAAAGATATGAACTCGCCTCGGCTTCCTGCCGAGAAGCGTCCGCCGAACATTGCTAACATGATCGAAGGGCGCGCAGAACTGGCACGTTTGGCTGAAGGCTGAAGGAGATAGTGCCGGAAGTGCGTCGACTCGTTTCAGAGTCGGTGGACCGTGCCCTGGTCTTTCCCTTCTGCAGGCGCGGAAGGCGCAGGTCCGAGGCGAACAACTCCCCGTGTCGAAGTCAGCCTGATCCATCTGTGCGACGGGCTGAATTGCAGGCAGCTGTGCGGTGATGTGTGGTGGTCGCAGTCTGCATCCGGCCCAAAGGCTGCTCGCCCTAGCCCAACACACGTGGCTCAAGGTCTGGAAGCTTAGGGATGCTGTCATGTACCTACAGAAGCAGGTGATGGGGTAGACGCCTCTGCTGCTAGCACTTGCTAGCCATTTTTGGTCGCACAAGCAGGAGAGCATTAGAAGCTCGCCTCCTGGGGAGAAGGAGTACGCGGGCTGATCGAATGGCTTCGCCTGAGGTCAACATGTCGCACCAGCGCAAAAAGAACCACAGCTCTAAGAGGGAAGATCGTGGTTTACTCCAAGTGTCCAGAAGAGGCGCAGGAGGAGTTGGACAAGAGCCGCGAGAAGAAGTGGAGCGAAGAGTTTAATGAACGAAACCATTGGTTCTCCAGGCTGGCGGGAGAGCTCGACTAAGGGGAACAAGTGCCTTTGCGCCGCTTCAATGAAATGTCCTTTGGAGAACAACACCTCTGTCCCTAGGTCTTCAGCTATCACATAAGCCTCGCCCGGAGTCGAGAATTTTGGAAGAGCTCTCTCTGCCTTGGCTTGGCTCTCTTGTGGATGCCTGGAACTCCCACTCGTAGAAGTCCCGAAGGGCGTAAAGCAGGAAACCAAACTTCGTCAAGTTTGTTTTCAGGTCTTGACTTGGCCGATCCGCTCGACATGGCTACGGCTTTGTCCACGGTTGGACAACTAAGCTTCAAAAGAGCACAAGTCCTGGTGACCAAGTGCTCCGCTGCCAATGCAATGACGAGTCTGCTTTTCGGCTCAGGCGCTGGGCTGTGTTGACTCAAGGCCCTGCGCAAAGAAGTGTCTCAAAACATGCATGCTGTACAACTAGCCCTACACGCACTGTACCCGCCCTACGATCGAGGTATATGTCACATTGTGAAAACATTGTGGTTACCACATACCATATTGTTTCGTGGGCAGTTGAACCGAAAACTGCCGCCAGCTTCTTAATCTCGGTTTTCTTTTGAGCTTTTGGCTCGGCCAGCCTCGCTCCGGTCTTGGTTCAACTTCAGCCCTTAAAACTCGATCTCTTAAAACTCAACTTGAATCTAAATTTAATCTACACCCTGAGACTAGCCGCCAAAGCTCCATGGGCTCCAGATCGCTTGAAAGGAGCGTGATGGCGCCGGCCTAACCCAACAACCAAAACATCGAAGGCCTCCCCGAAAGTCTTTAAGGCCCCTAGGCCGAGTGTTTAGGGGTTTAAGGCGAAATACAATAAGTAAGGTGTAGGGTTAAAGGAAGCACTGGCCTCAACTCCGCTTCTATAAATCGAAGTCTGAAAGTCTGAACGCCAGCCTCTGGGGGGAGGAGGGGAATGAAGCGATCCAAGATGTCCTCTCCGAGCAGCAGCGAGCCACACTTCAATTCTTCATGAATGTCTCAGTACGTTGCAACATTCTGGGTATAGAGCTTTCACTTGCTTGGTGAGGCTTTGGGTTTCATGGATTGAGGGCTTGCAGCTGTTGAGTTGTTGAGTTGTTGAATCGAGGGCTGCGCACATAGGGTGGCAGGCTGAGAGTCAGAGAATCACATTTCGCGGGCCCTGCCAAGTCGGAGGAACTCGTCTCTGATGGTCCTTGTAGGTCCAGGTCGGTAGGGCGCCCTCCAAGGTTGCGAAGACCTCACCGGAGAGCAAGGACTTCAGCTTCAAAAAGCATCCTCTCTCCTGAGAAACCTCGGCTGAAGCAGACGCCTGGGAGGTTTGGCGCTCAGCCTCTCTTGCTGCTCCTCCGGCTCCTCTGGCTCCTCTGGCTGCTCTGGCCGCTCTGGCCCCAGCCTCCTCATTGTCCTTTTTTGCCCGCTCATCTCGGGCCTCTTGGGCCATCGCTTGTGCAGCAAGTAGGTTGCCCTGCGCCACTGGTAAGAACGAGGAAGTGCAGCCGCAAACATCTCCCAGTGCCTCAAAGGTTCATTGTTGCTCAGATACTCGTTGAACCACCAACAGCTTCAGTCCCAACACGAGAACCCCTCAAAACGTTGCAGCGGCTGAGCTCCCGCTTTTACCTACTAATGCGTGTAGAAGGCCACTCAGCACTGGAGTCACTTTGCATTAGCATTTGAGAAATAGACTGCCAGTTTGTAGCAGCTCAGTGCTGAAGCCATTGCAAGTTTGAACTTGGAAGAAGGAGCGGAAGCAAAAGTATTCTTCGAGAAGTTCTACTCTAAAAATGCTTAGCAAAACTATTGCTTAAGTTAAAGGCCATGTGCTCTTTGGATAAATTCCAGTTTCAAAATCTTGAGTCGGGTCATATTCCTGATTCAGAGTTTTTCAACCAGACAAGAAATACAATGCGCCCCTCTGATCATTGTGGTGTCCCGCCACAACCTGATCAAAGATGTCCAGTAGTGAACAGAGATTTGTTCCTGTACCGCTTTAGACTTGCTGCTGTTCGTTCCTGCAGCAGCCCTGGGCCTCAGGGCTATGTAATCATGACCTTCAAGAAAAGAGCGAGAACCTGAGCTTCTTTGAGTAGAAGCATGCGGGTCCTACATCAAAATAAGGGCAAAATCAACCATAGCAGCAGGTAATGAAAGGCATGACAATAGAGGCAGGGGAGACTAACGAAACTGTGGGTATTTAGCTTCTTTGTTGCTGAGGTGAATGATTGGGGTTGGTTCCGCTCTCGCCCATCACTAGGTTCATGTGTTTGTGCTTGGTTGGGCGTCACCAAAAAACTTGAAAAGCAAAGCAACCTCAAGAATCCCCAAGAGGCATGGCACCAGCGCAGCAGCAGCACACATGCAGGCGAGAACAGGGCCATGAACTCGGTAGGAAGAGATGTGACCTCCAACTCCGAGTGGAGGATGTCCCGAATGCGATGCATGTCGCTGGCCTAGCAGGGAAAGCACATGGCGCTTGACAGACCAATGGACGTAAGCATGCCTAAAGGCTCACTTACAACTCCACAAGGCTCCACTGGGCCTCCGGCTCGAACATTTGCAGCTTTGCGATGAAACTCTTGTCCCCCTTCAAGAGATACTGAATCTGTTGCCAGGTCTCTGTGGAGCTCTCCGGGCGCGTGCACTTCACGATGGCCTCGAAGAGCGTCTTGACATAGCTGGGCACGGGGCCGTTAAGGACATTAAGCAAGTCCTCGCCTGCCACGAAATCCAAATCGGAGCTTGCCTTCAGCAAAGGCACTTTGGCCGAGGACATGGCAAGGACAGAGCAGTCATGACCGGCATTTGAGCCAGCTGCAAGGGTTCGGGGGTTGAGGCCTGGGGTTCAGAAGTTTAATATTTCGCGAAGCTGCGTGCAACAGGGCTCAGATTGATCTTCGACTGAGCTGACCCCCCCCCGGGGCTCGGCCAGGGCACCAGTAGCAGCACCAACCCAGCCAAGGTCAGCACATACCTTGGGCTCAAGATGTCATGGACACTCCCCAGCCTTCCCACAAAAAAAGCCTACACTGCAAAATTGTGTTTTTGCTGCCTAGCAGCTCTGCAAAAGCCAAAGAAAATCCACTCCCTTGCTGCGAATGCCATCACAAGCCTATTGTTTTCTTGCTCTTTGGCTCCCGGTTTCACGGATGTTTGTGGACCATTCAATGTTCACATGTATACAGGTATTTACGCGCGTTCGGCAGCCTGACAGTCACAGCATTTGGCGGCGACCGACAGCTCCACAAACGGCAACCACTTTGCGGCATACAAATCAATTTCCAGGGTACGTAATGGTACTTGGGTCTAGCAACCACAAAACAATGACCAAACCCTACATCCTACACCAGCAACCCTACACCCTATTGATCACTTCCCATAAGCCCTGTGACATTGCTCATCCGTTTGCTTGGGGTACTGTGCTTCAGGGCTTGGAGTCTTGCATCTTGGCTGCCACTGGAAGCACGCGGCGATCCCACCTTGGCTCCAGGAAATCCCATGTTGAAGTTTAAGGCGGAAGCAGTCACCGAAACCCTGGGTTAGCCAGGAAGGCAGCATCACGACATTCCCGACCTGTACGGCTGCAGCTTGCAACACCACAACGCGCATCAGAGTTGTGAGCGTGCTTTGTTCGAGTCAAGAATGCAGGTGTCTCAGAAAGCCAGAATCAACACTAAACGCGCACGCCCCGAACCGCAACCAGCTGCTATCCCGCAACCCAACCAGGCCCTACAACCCTACAGCTTCAGAGAATCTGGCCGTGCCACAAGCATGGAGAAGTCTCTGAACGCAGTGGCAGCCGCTGAATGCGCGCCAGAGGAGCATGCCCACCCTTGTGCGAAGGCTTCAGCCCGAAACCCCAAGCATCCCTCAACCGCGACCTTTCACCACCTTGCAAATCTTACACCAGCTTTTGCACAGGCATGAAATTTTGGGATTCCATGGGATTCGGGTTCACAGCTTGGCCTCTTCGACCTTTACAACTGTAAAGCCTCCCCAGCTTCCGTGCAGCCTTGCATTGCTAAGCTCCAGATTCGTCTCTGCTGACTGCTTTGAAAATTGTTTCCTTCATACGCCCGTTCCTCAGAGGGGAAGCATAGTTGTACTCGTAGCAACAACAGTACCACGGCTGGGGCTGACGACCCCCTTGGTGGGGATTTGGACCCAGTTTTGGGGTCTTGCTTGGCACCGGCAATTGCTTCGAAGATCTGCGTAGCCTCGGGGAGACGGGGTCTTTGGTGCTTGCAGCCCTTCGCAACACACCGAGGTATGTGTTGCTCGAATTGCTCGACTGGACGTACTTCTTTCCCTACTCTCTTCATCTCTCTTAAATGCAAATCAATCAGAGCTACGGGCGAAGACATGGTGCACAAAATGAGAAAAAGAGAGAGAGAGAGAAGAGAGACCCTTTTTTGCTTAAGGTTCTAAGGCTGTCTTCCACATCCTAAAAGCCAGAAGAAATCATGGAGGAAAACAGCCTCGGAAAACGCGTGTGTCGAGTTGTTTTGGGGCTCCAGGCCCCGGGTGTAAGGTTGCAGGTGGTCTAGGGCTGATGTCGGGAAGTTCGGGAAGATGAAGGCTGAGCAGGGCTAGCCGCGGCTTGCCCATATTCCCCGGCGAGCTGCAAAAAGATCCATCCCAGCAGGGTCTCGTCCTCAGTGAACTTTTCGCGGTTTGACTTCGGGGTTGTTTGTTGCACCGCTTGGGCCCTAGTTTGGCTGAGCTCCGGGCCATCGTTGCGGCAAGCAAAGCGCTGAACAAGCACTCAACTATCCAAACGTTCAGTGCACGAAAAGCTCCGCCTCTCAACCCTGAAGCCGTAAGCTGTCAGCCCGAATCCTATGCCCCCAACAACAATGTCAATGTCCTGGAGCCTGCCGGCATCGGCGCGCAAGTGACATGACTACGTAGACCGACACGGTCTGCTGCTTTCCTAGTGATATGCGCTATGAGGCTATGCTTCACACTGATTTGGAAAGAGTTTTGGCCTTCGCCTACTCAGGCTCTCTTAGACGTCTTAGGACATGTTCAGGCTGGGGTCCCAAGTCCTCCGAAAGCCTGCATGTTTTCCTTATGCGAAACGAGAGCGGTCTGTGGCGGGAATCTCTCCCCGCGCAGGTAACTTGGAGGTTTGTGGGAACTAAGCACAACTGCCGTTGTACTCAACACACTGGAACGGATTGAGAAACAGACCCATGCTGCAAAGAATTTGAACCTCCAAGCGCCTACACAGCTCCAGAAGGCAAGTGCACCAGGTCGTGAACTGATGGAATGCAGCAACGGGGCAGTGCAACTACAGCTGTTTTGGGATAAGATATCTGGTTCTCGACCCTTCTGGGCACGCCCTGCTGGGCCAATGTGGGTTTGGGCGAACAGCCTTCTAAAGACACCAGGCCTGTTCGGGGAAAAATGTTCCGGTTCTGTTCTTCATAAGGAAACCCACTACACATCTAGAAACTCTGCACCTTGAGGTTGATAACATGGTGCTCTGGATGTACGAAGTCCTAGGCACTGAACTTCTGAATACGGGATTCTCAAAGGTCGTTCAAGACCTTGTAGGCCTCCTTCGAGAGCAGCTTCCCTGAGCTCAGCCGCGCAAACCACCTCTCGGGGATTGCGGCTTGCTGCCTAAGCCCCGAAGCCTGCACCCTTAGTGTAGTCGGAACCCTCAACGGCGAAACCAGGCAGCCGTCTTCCATTGAGGGGGGGGGGGGGTTCTTCAACGTTACACAACCAGTACTGAACCAGCCGAAGGCGAGGAATATGTCTTGTCAGCGAGGAAGAAGTCTTGACAGCTGTTGCAAGAGCTGATTCCGGCTGCTCGTGGTGCGTGAAGGTTAACAATGTGAGGCGACACCCCAACACTGGGACCTTGCACCCAGCAAAAACTTGATGCTCGTCTGGCTGACGAAATCAGCCGACTTTTGCCGGATAACCCCCCACGGACCCCACGGGCAAAAACTCTGGTAACCCCAGGAAGAAGTCGGCAATCGCCTGCTATGGATGGGTTCAGCAACAGAATTTCCTGAAAGTGCGGCAAGGTCTGCTTGGCTGAGTAGCCTTGGGCGCAGACTTGGGTCCACGCAAAACTCCCTGATGACATCAATGCGGTGCTTATACAGGTTGTCGAGGGTTTGAGGTTGAGTACCTTTGCTACGTAGGGCTCCGAGTCCCATACCTCAAGCTTCAGCAATACACCCGCCAGCACGGCATGCCACAACTTGGGAAACAAGAGGTCTGGACCCTCAGCCCCTCAACCACGTGGAAGCCTTGCAAAGCCATTTACTGTGCTGGGATCCGCTTTTGGCACCTGTGCGACTTGCACGTGCTGGCAACACTGGCCGGAACAAACTTCTCCTGGGCGGCAAAGCGCTTGCAAGATTCTGATCATTTCTACCTGCGCAAGTTAACATGCCTAGCGTGAGGAGCCCTTGGAATGGGAGCCGGTTAAAATGTTCGGAGTGCAGGGCAGAACCCATCCAGAAAAAACATCCCAAAACCCACATGACAAAATTCGAAACTGAAACAGTACCTGAAAACCATCGCTGGACAAGTCACTGAAGTGCAACAGCAAAACTCAGATCGTACGTTCAAACCTTAAGCCCCATAGCCCACTCAGGCTACAGGCTACTGTGCGCCCGTAGAAACCCGTGGAAAGCTGTAGAACCTGGGCCAGGCTACCCAGTCGGAGTTGGAGGCGTCCTGCTTGGCCGACTCATGCTCTGTACTGGAGTTTAGGAGGGATCTAACCGAGCTAACATGAGCTAACCGCCTGTTTCTGCCTGTTTCGTTTGTTGGAGTTGTATATGCTGGCCTTCAGGGAGCTTCGGGGCCTAAGCCGACGCCAGCTTGAGTAGGACCGAGTAGGAAGTAGGAAGTTGGCTCGGCGTCTGGGATGGCCTTCAGGCGACTTTGACTTTTAAGCCATTTAGGCCGATTAGGTCGTTTAGGTGCACAGACGAGCACCTCCAATATGAAACAGCGCGGAACCAACCGTGCCCAGTCGCGCAACCGTAGACCAAGTTTATGGGTAAGGTGGAGGTTCAGGAGTTCAACAACCTAATACCTCCGTCCTTCTGGATCAATTCACCAACCTCAGCCTGAGAGGGCGGCTCAAGGGGTCCAGGAGAAATCGGGCGGCCTTGCAAGGACTGGGAATCTACGCACTCGCACCTGCAATGGGGACGGATGGTTGACAAGCTAAGCATCTTTGCATCTTTTTGTTCCTGTTCCCTTCCAACGTACGGGCGGTTTGGATATGAGGAAAACGACTCACGATTGCTATAGCGTGCTCAGCGAATGCCAAGTCACAGCTCCCATAGCAAAGCACTGGTTCGTCTCCGGATCCCGGGCCTCAATGATGCATTCCGCGGCTCAGGTGTGTGGCACGTGAGCTACCACAAGTGTACCACGGTTCACCCATGGTTCACCCGTGGTTCAATCATGGTTCACATGGTTCAGCCATGCTTCACCCCAATCACGAAGCCCAAAGGCGCTCTGAAAGAGTGCCAGGATTGGGCTCTGAGCAAGCACACAAATTCAACAAGGATGAGACCCACACGTATCACATTTTGACTGACGGAAGAATTTGAAGTGCTTCACCTTAAGCTCTTCAACCTGAGATGAACCAGCCGTGGAAATCCACCTCGGGGCTGATGTAGGCGTTCGTGAGTGGCTCAATGTAGCCTGGCTTAGGCTTGAGAGCTTGGGATTCAAGGCTTTCGGAATAAAGATTCCAACACCTAGTTCCCTCTCCTTGCTGTCTCGAGTTCGAGAGATTTGTGCGGCCCTCAGACGGGTTTCGAGAAGCTTCGCGCGAACTCGAGATGTCCCCTCCCAACTTCCAGACATAAAAGGCCAACTTCCACCCCATCCTCCACTGAACCGGGGCCGAGCCTTTGGACTCCAGGTACTCGTACAGCTTCTGCTCGTCGTCCGAAGGTACGGTTGCAGGCGTTAAATTACCCTCGCCGTCGATGCTCGGGTATGTGAAGATCCTTGTCGTTCCTTGCGTGCCATGCCATGACCAATCCCACACACCAGAACAACAACCAAAACTCATAAAACTTGAAACATCTTAAAGCATCCTTAAACAAAGCACTGAATCCTGAGCCCTAAGTTTTCCTAAAACAATCAGATGTGGGCAGTTTAGGCTTGGACTTGGAGCAGGAAGTGACTGCGCCGGACTGTGCCACACAGCGTCCATTCTGGAAGAGGTTTCCAAAGGCCGCCAACATCCCACCCTGGGGTCACATGTTGTGACGCATCCCCAAACCCTAACCCTCAAGAAACCCCAGCCTGAAAGCTAACACGTGGGGAGCAACCAGCCCGGTTTTGAGATACTGAATCCTTCCACATTCTTAAATGTTTCACCTCAAGACCAACCCACCAACGAACTCTCCACTGAAAGCCGTATCTACACTCGTTCGTTCTAACCTTTGAACTAAACACAATAACCAGAGCCCTTACAACGAGGGCAAATTCACCATCCACAAAACCGCTCGACATCCCACACCAGGCCCGCCTCAGACTTGCCATAGCTCTCTGGGTTGAAAAGGGCCCGTTTCCTTTCTTGCACGCATGCGTGCAAGCTATCATTTCTAAAGTGTTTCTACAGCTTTCGGGCCAACGGCTTGTTATCAGGTTGATGCAAAACACTGCTCAAGAAGCCCAGCAGCAGTGAGTAGCCACCGCCCCCGACCTGGCCATGGCCACTCGCAAGTTGGGACATTTAGAGGGTTCGGGGCTTGGGGTTTGGCCCTGTTCTCTTATGCACGAAACACGAGCTCTAAACCAGTGACTTACACAACTTACACCTGCACTAACCCACAGTCTGTCTTCGGGCATTCTTTCAGCCATTGTCGGGCATAGAACTGACCTTGCATACATTGCAGAAGCGCGGCAGCGATGACGACGTCCTGGTTGGTGTACCGATTCAAGTACCGCACCAATTGGTGGGTCCTGGAGCAGCTGCCGAAGATTTACAGTAGAGTTTTTTGACTTCTCGGGCTTAGAACTCAGCTGTTTTCAGCTCATACCACTCGCGCCACTACCCAACGAAAAGAAAAAGCACAAACAATGACGTTCAACTCGAAAATTTATGCCGGGGGAAGAGCACCGTACAAAAACGCTCCGAAGAGCAGCGGGCTGCAAAGCGATAACGCGCGTTTGAGATGTCATGGCTATGCTGTAAGTACACCCGCAAGAGAGTGGGAATGAACAAACAAGTACAACCGTTCGAGCCGAGCTAAAGAGCAGTCGCACGGACAGTTTGTTGAACTCTGCGCTATGAATTGTCATTAACAAGCAAGTTCATCTCATACAGCCCTACTTGCACTACTACATACCACAAAGTAGCAGACGCTTTCCCTTTGGCTGCACGAGGTGAGCGTGGTTCAAGTCGTAAGTCGGGCCAACACAAAACACACCAATCGAAACATTCTGAAGCGCAGCACATTGCAATACGAGACAACGAGAATCAGGGCTACGGCTAACGGCAAAGCAGCAAGAAAGGACACCAAAAATATCTTGGCGTGTGGAGACGGTGAGGAGCTGATGCCAGCTTCCCTAGAAACCCTTCTGGCAAAGGATTCACGTTGCAGATTTAGGACGCACCAAGCCGGCAAGTTTAGCAGCTTAAGGGTTCAAGGTCGAGCGGAAGCACTTGGAGCCTTCCATGACATCCCAGAAGCGTAAAACGTACCGTACGCGACTTGTGAGAGTGCGACACAGGGGGCATCTGCCTTGCCTCTCAACGCGGTGCTGTGGGAACATGTTTTTCTGGGGGCATCATGCCCCCATGGCATCCTGAAATCCATAGACGGCATCCACCGCCGCCACACCCAGCTCCAGGCTCCAGGAACCCAGGAGACTTGCCCTAAACACGCAGCCCACCAGAAACACACTACCATGCACAACTCCACCAACGTTATGTAGCGTGTGCATGGGTGGATGTGTCGAGCTTTCCGAGAGCCACTAGGAATGTGGAGCTTCTGCCTCTAGCGATTGGATAAATCATCAAGTCGCCGTCCCAACCCTGAAACTACTGTTAAGCTGTGCTGGTCCTCTGGATGTTCGAGAGCAGCACGGGATATTTCAGAGTTTCGAGCATCTCGAAGCGCTGGAGGAAGTCTGTCGCGAGAATGCCTAAGCGGTTTAGGGTTTAGAGGTTCAGAGTTTAGGGTTTAGGGTTTAGGGACCCTAAACCCTAAACCCTAAACCCTAAACCCTAAACACTAAACCCTAGACCCTAAACCCTAAACCCTAAACCCTAAACCCACCCTAAACCCTAAACCCTAAACTGAGTGAGGCCGGGGCCATCGAGCAGGGCGGGAGCCAGAAGCCCTCCGGCGGGCGACGGAGCTCCAGTCACGCAGGCAGCTGCGGGCTGCGCGGTGGACCCGGCAGGTCGCTGGCGAGAAACCCGTCAGGGCGCCCCAGAATGAGATACCCCAAACCTTCTCGCAAAAAATGGCAACCTCCTTTTGGGAGGTCTCCCGGGCCTCTCCCAGAGCCTCACCTCCGGCCGTCGTCGTGTTTCCTGGACCGGAGGTTGGTTCAGGCAAGCGGCCCGTCAATTTTCCTGGACGCCCCTGCTGGGAGGTGCCGGAGGCCCCTGCTGGGAGGGCTGTCGGAGGGCTCTGCTTGGAGGCCGCGCCTCCTAGGCCCCTGCGTGGGAGGCCTGGGAGGTCCCTGGGAGTGGGGCCGCTGCAAACCTCTGACATCAGGCAAGTGATCAGCCAGGACGCAGCAGTGCCGGGCGAAGGCGGCAGCCAGCCCCAGTCCCAAACCTCTGACTTTTTAGAAGGCATCACAACGCCAAGCAAGGCCTTCCAGATGCAGCATCAGCGAGGGCAAAGGCGGCAGCAACCCCCATCCCAAACCTCGCACTTCAGGCCCTTCCATGAAGTCTTCCAAATCCCCAACAAGGACGCAGCATCGCCAAGGGCGAAGGCAGCAGCCAACCCCAAGCCCAAACCTCTGACTTTTTGGCCCTCCCACAAGCCCTCAAATGATAGACATCATCCCTTGCAACGCCAAGGGGCTGCGAATCTCAGGGTAATTGATCTGCATCGATGCCGAGCTTCTAAACCCAACCAATAGACAAGAGAAAAATGACCAAAGCACGATCAGAGTTCAAAAGAACCCTAAACCCGTAAAGGTTAAGGCGAGGGTGGAGCGCCAGCGGGGGTGGGCTTACGCAAGTCGGGGCGCGCGCCTGGGTGCTTTCAGCACCAGCGCGCCCACTCATGGAGACACCCTAAACCCTAAACCCTAAACCCTAAACCCTAAACCCGAACTCACAAAGGGAATCCTGAACTCGGATCCGCAGAGCAGATTTGAAAAAAGACGAAAAGCGTCCGAGCAGCTCCGATCATCTCCCGTCAGGTTCAACAGAGCCTTGGGGCTTTTAGTCACATTCAATCAAATTTAATTAGTCACCTAGACCTGGTCTTCACATCTACATCTACATGTCTACATTCTGCCCCATGTTCTTGTAGCGATGCGGCCTCAGGCAGAAATCTTTGACTTTGCAAGCTTGGAGCGCACACTTCAAAAAGCGTCTCGTACTTGTATGGGCGTGGTAAAGGTGGCCAGAAAGGGTGCAGGTTGAAGGGAAGGGCCACAGCCTGAAGCCTGAAATCCGTATCTCGGACGCTTGACTTCCGAACCCTCCGCTACACAGCAGCCGCACCATCAGGGCAAAACCGACTCACTGAACGTGAAGCCACAAGCCGTCCACATCCCTGAACCGGACGCTGCGTCAGACCTCTCTGCCCAGCAGCATCCACCGATGCCTCTGTGCCTCCTCCAGCCAGTTCGCTGAATATGCTCTGCACCTCTTCCTCTTGGATGGTTCTGGGACAGTGGGGAAACACCGACGTACACACACCAACTTCTGAAAGCAGGTCATCGACTCCCCGCCGAACCCCCTGAAAACCCCCAACCCCGCAATGGCAAGAGCAACTTTGCTCCTGTGCATTACAAGCAGATACAAGCAGATACAAGCAGCCTCGGCTCAGCAACAATGCAAAGCTGAGGGCTTTGAGCTTCAGGCTCACAGATCCCAAGCCCGAAGGCCTAGCCTGAACTCACCCCTCACCCACGTGCCCGAACAGGCGAGAGCTTTCCATGTCCACTCGAATTTAAATGTTGCCATCACTTGCTGAATACGACGTTAACCAGTCAAAGCAAGCACATCCGGCATGCTTTATCCACAAGCTCCTCGTCGAAAGGATTCTGAGGATGTGTATCGATGGTACGTCATTGCATTGTCATTGCCATAATTGATTCAATAGCACCTCATGTCCCGCCGAGGCCCCGCCTCACTGAGGCGGTCGCCAATCAAGGCTCCAAAGTCATCGAGGCTCAGCTTGCCACCTCAAAGCTTGGGCTTAGGCCCCTAAAGGGCAGTTGGAAGGTTGCCTAGGGACAAACAGCGCTAAAGGGCTGACCTTAAATGTAGTCTGAATTTTCGCTGTCTTTCAGTCGAACAGTGGGCGGAACCTGACTTACACAGGCAAACCCACACAGCACGACAACCGGGGTAGTTCCAAGCCCGCAACCACAGACCTCAATCGAAAAGCAGAAATGACAGAATCCGGCACCACTAAAACTAAAAACTTGGCGGTTACAGTTTGGGGTGTAGGGATGTAGCTGTAGCACATGGTGTACCTGGCAGAAGAACACGTCAAGACATGCAAAATTGGGGCTTCAGGATTTCGGAGTCAAGGTTGAACCATACATTCAAGGACAAATTGATTGATTGACTGACTGGTTGACTGATTAAATTGAGGCTTCAACTCGAATCTGAACCGTTCTTCAGAGCCTCCGATCCAGAAGCTGCACTCAAGTACAAATGTCACCTGCTTTGGTAGGATTTCTATTCGAATACCATATTGATCCCTTCTGACATTCAGGCTTAAACTCCAAACCGCCTGAGCAACTCAACTCGAGAATGCTCCCAAGCCCTGGAAGGGAACTTATAACGAACTTACGGGCATGTGGCTACCAACTACATACATGCTGCATGCATACATATGTGTATGTACATATACACGTATTTTTCGTATTGAGCCTTAAAGCATGACGTGTCACCCTTTCCGGCTTAGGGTTTCACATGGTTTCATGTTTAAGGAGACGGCGCCTCTAAGAGGCCGTGCGAGTAACCACAATTTCTGGGGCTCGGGGTGGGGTTGGGGTGGGGGGGGGGGGGGGTAATCACGTGACTTGGGACTTCACACCTGCAACTCCAAAGCCTGAACCCCTAATCCCCAAAGGCCTAAACCCTTGCTGTTTAATTCGGGGTTTATAAGCAAAACGCGCCCGCGCCTAGGCGAGAGCGCAATTTCAAGCAAAAAATGTGTCCGAAACTTCAAAACGACACCCCCGAGAAAAAAAACACAACAAACAAACGATCCTTAAACCCAAAAGAATAGTCCAAGCAGTGCAAACCCAAATCCTGAAACCTGAACCCTAAACTTTGAACCTTGAACCCTGAAGAAGAATCAACTTGAGGCCACTTTCAGGATCCAGTGCGCAAGTCTGTTGGGTTACAACCAAAGCACAATTCCAGAAAATCATGCCTGCGCTGTGGCGAGAGCACTATTTCGAACCTGAACTGCCGGAGCCATAACGCAGAAAAAACTTCCCGAACCGAAAATCGCCATTTGAAAGTTCAACATGGGGAATGAGCAAAACGTGCCCGCGCCTAGGCGAGAGCGCAAATTCGAGCAAAAAACGCGTCCAAAACTTCAAAAAAAAGGACCCCCTGGAAAAAAACAACAAAAGAAACGATCAGGCTTCGAGCGAAAATGCATTTTTCCGAAAAAATGACCTAACCCTTCAGTGTTTTCGAGCCCTGCTGCTGCTGCGGTGATCACGAAAATGTGTGTTTTACTTGGGTTTTCAGCCCTCGACGCGAAAAATGTAAACACAGAATGTGTTCAGTCACACGGCCTCTTACGGGCGCCGCCACCATGTTTAAGGCTGGCTGTGTATGTAGAATTGTGGGAATGCTTCGGCACCTGGGCAGCCTTTTGCCGATGCTGATCTCGAGTACGACCTTGCCCTCTTGAGGTTCTACGACCTTCAATTCTACAAGCTCTGTCTCGGAAGCCTTGGAGTGGCAGATGTGTCCTACTGATATGAAACTACTTTCATGAAATAACCACTGTGACAATCCGCTGTCCAAGCAAGATTTAGTGCCTTTTGTACTCTGCATTCCTGCACCCACAAACACAGTGCCACGACCAGGAGCCATAATCCTCGCTGCTCAGCTTTTTCCTTGGTTTGACAGTTGTGAAAGCCCTTAACCCCAAGCAAGCTACTTCGATCGTAAACGGCTTTGGGCCCCGCTATCGGCGTAGGAGGGGCTTGGGATGCAGGGCAATTCACTGAGCCACGAAGCCTAAACCCCAAAACTTGACGCCCTGAATGCCTCAATCCCCGAGTCCCCACTGCAATCCGCAATAACAAGATTTGATTTTGGAGGCTCATCTGCGCCAAGCGCTGACCAATCTCGTCTTTGGAGACAGGTGAGGTGATGTCATCGATCCTGGGACTTATTCAAGGCTTTGCTTCGCCGCGAGAGCTTAGCTTTGAGCCTTCAGAGTTCCAACCAAGTATTGTGCCGAAAAACAAACAAAATGACGTTCAGCAGGATTTGAGTTGTTTCTGATCGAGTTCGCAGTCAATTCTGTACCCTCCTTTGCAGGGAGCATCTGTAATCATGGTCTGACATGGACAATTTCGATTTAGCAGTGAATAGTTGGTGGAACCTGATCTGGAGTTGCATATCAAGTTCAATGTGAAAACATATGCGAACGTTGTTAAAGCACGACGTTCAGGTTTGGATAGCACGCTATAATTTTTGATCTTTGTTATTGTAAGAGCACCAAGGTTAAAAGAGCAAACTGCATAAAACAGTTGTTTTAAGCAAATCCTTTGTAAAACATGCATGGTATGGACAAGATTATGCTGCATCATAAGCTCAGTGTTTTTGGATCACATGTACTTTGTTCCCTTGTTATTTATAGATTACGATACTTCTGACATAAATATGTGGAGTATCTAAACGCAAAACTGCTGTACTGTTTAGTGTGCCTTTAAAAAAACATGATGATTAAAAAAACCCTTCAATTCAAAATTCATCACTAACTTGAAGACATTTACGAATACATACACTTTTTGTTTAAGACTTTTTTTGGCGTAGTGCATGCGCTGGCCATGACACATCAGTGGCAACAAATGCAAACACATGCAATCAGTGCACAAATGCAAACACATGCGACTAATGCACAATATAATGAAAAAAAAACAACATTAAGTGGATACAAGGAAGCACCATCCCTCACAAGCAATCCGCAAGATTCTGGGCCGGTGGGAGGCTCTCTTTTCGGTCCCAGTCTTCAAACCATTCAAAGATATTCAAAGCATTCAAGCCTTACTCTGAATCTCCAAAGCTCTGGAGGTTCAGGATCTTCATCGGTTCCTTGCCTTGGTGCTAGCGCTGGGCAGTGAGCTGGAGCATGCTGGAACTAAGGGACTTCGAAAGCTTTAAGGGCCCCTTACCCTTTGTGAGGTGCCTAGCTGCGCTAGAACGCAAGAGAGCCCAGCAACATGCTGAAGAGTACTTGCTGAGATGCCCTCCGCTTTCTCCTTCTTCAGCCGCCGTGCAGCGGTCTGGCCAAGCGCTTCAAAGACGAAACGTGTGGATTTCACTTTAACTGGTCAGCTTTTTCAATCTCGACCCTTGCATTTACACGCGATTCCTGGATACGTCTACACAACGAAGTTCCGGGGCCTCGATGACCTCTGTGTGCATGGATGTACATGGCTTGAAGCGCGAACGCTCCACGATGACCTTGAAAGAGGCCAAGATGGGCCAAAATGGGCCAAGATGGGCCAAACAAGATACAACCGAATGCCGCTCTAAGAGTAGAAGGATGTTTCGGACCCTTTGGGCCCTTCGACGACATTGAGTCAGGGCCTATCGCAGCTCTGAAATTGACTGGTCCGGCGACAGGCCGGTCACACAAACCACCAAGGAGTCTTTAGAAAGTGGGCCTTCTATTCTGTTGAGATTACCTGCGCTTGCTCGTAAGGCCCAGGGATGTGGTGGAGGCTTCGGGAGTTCTGGGATATTTCTAGGATTCAATCACTGCTTAGGCACCTGAAACAATCCTAAGACCATGAGTCAGAATACTGGGCGTTTGTACAGCGCGTTGTTGGGCACAACCATCTTGTAGCGGCCATCCGAGCCGGGCTCCATCAGGACCTGCCACTATCGACAGGGTTTGGTTGGTTCGGGGGGAGTTCCTCAAAATGAAATTCTGCGAGTATGGAAGCGAAGGTTCGGGCTCGCACCAGGGTTACTTGTACATGCGAGCCCATGGAAAAGAATGGCATGTCATTCCTCAACCCAAGTTCACATCTTCTGATTCTTCTGCAAGTACGCCCCAACCAACTTCAAAGAGGCTGTGTCTTGTCGGTTCTCCGGTTTTCCGAGGTCGAGCTCCGTGTCCCAACCACTAGAAAATCCCCTTAGACACTGTCAAAACCATCCCACGATGTTTCCGGCCCCGCTCCGGCCCCATTGGCGATGCGCAGCTGGACCATGCGGAAGGCCAGTAGCCGGGCCTGGGTCTGGAGGTCTGCGAATGTCACTGTGAGGGCGAGGTGCGGGTGAGGGTGAGGTCAAACATCCGGAACCCCTACATCCCGCACCCTTCCTATACAAATCAACAAATCCCTCACCCTGCACGCAATGAACCATCATCAACCCGAATCAACCTCCTGCCCCCTAAACTTAATCTGCCAAGGCACATCTATGGCCTCCTTGGGGAAGGACGGTCCGGTGAAGTCGATAAAGTCCACCTAGCAAATCAAAGCTTGCAAGGTTCAGAAGTTCAAGGGGTTGCTGGAAGTGTCCCTGCCATGTCTGCCCTAGTTAGACAAATCACTACGGTTGCGCAAGGCATCTCCAACTTCCAATCCCTAAACCAATCTACACCGTCCTTCACCGTCCTACACCGTCCTACGTCGTCCTACGTCGTCCTACGTCGTCCTACGTCGTCCTACGTCGTCCTACATCCGAATCCTGAGGAAGAGCAGATGCCTCGATCCGGCCACCACCACTGGGCTCGTCACCTAGCCCACGGGAATGCCTAAACAAAGTCTGGCTAAGGGGCTTTGAAGCGACCTCGCCAAGGGCAGCGGTGAGTTGGTGAGTAGTTTTTCTTGTTTGTTTTCAGTTTGGGAAATTTGGTACCTCTTTTTCCGAATTCGCCTCGGCCTCTGGCCGAGAGGCATCTGGAACAAGCAGACCAGGACCTGGTCTCCTTCCGAACCAGCCCGAGATGTGCGGTATGAATGATAGTCCTCCCTTCCTGAGACCCTCGGCACTCCTGAAAGTCCCCTCAGACCTGAAGCCCTCCTGCCTCCTGAACTCATGTCTCGCTGCACCGAGCAGCATATGACTTTGGCTTTTCTGCATTTTCAGTCCGAAAACAGCCGACAACCCCAAATCCTGAAACCTCAAAACTAAAACCCCCAAAAAGCGCCCCGTACGTAATGTCTCGCCTCCGCGAACCCCACACCAGAACCCATGCCCAATGCCCTGCCATACCTTGAAATTTGGGGGATCAGGGTTTCGGACCTGTGTGGAAAGGGCTCGGGTTAAAGTAGGGCAACTAGGGAATCCGGGTTTCCAAAACCCTTCGTCTTGGAATCTTGGCCGCGCACTGAGGGACATGCCATCAAGCAGGAAGGATGTGATCAGATAGGGGTCTGACCTTCGGCGATTATGACTGGTCATCACTGTTCATTCCAGCTCGGGCGACAACCCGCTCCCTCAAACCGAAATCAATCTGAAACCCTGGTACAAAATTCCCCAAAGGACCCACACGCACACATACACACACACACACACACACACACACACACACACACACACGAACAACAGCATAAATGCCAAGGTTAGACTCGCTTGTTTGGCACAAGAAAACGAAGCAGAAAAGCCAGCGATCAAATAGGAAAACAGTAGCAAAAATGGCAATCATCGGCATCATCAGCATCATCATCATCATCCTCCTCCTCATCATCCTCATCATCATCATCATCATCTTCATCATCATCATCACCATCATCATCATCATAATTGGAACGGCCATAGTAGAACAAATGTTCTTTCGTCGTAGTAGCCGCAATCAGAAAGAAAAACAATAGTGGTAACCATAGCAATCGTACCAGCTTTGCAAAAAACTGACAACATGGAATTGGGCGTGGCCATTTCACGCGATGGTACCCGATTTTCTGGCTAGCCGAATCCTGCGCAATCATACATTCACCTGGACAGCCTACGGAAACCCGAGCCCTGCTCCCCCACTTCCTGGTTTTTCAGCCCGCAGACTCAGTTTCGCGGGAGCCCTGTAGCACCCTGTCGCAGGCGTATGCTTGTCTTCAGCGCCGCCTGTCTCCTGAATGGAAGCCACGCATCATCCAGCCCCTCACGGGTGCAAAACACTTTCGGAGCTCCGGAACGCTCTCTTTCATTGGACGGTTGGTCTTGTCTTCTCCCTGTGCCAGTGGAACAGCCTCGACTCGTTTCGATGCGCGCGGTCCACCTCGCCGCATCGTGTCGACCGTCCAATTGCCCTGCTACAATGAGAGCCCTGTGTGGCAAGTTCTCAATCAAGCTTCACACATTCATGTGTCTGCAATGCGGGCATGATAGGGCAGCAGCCAGTCATGTGACACGAACGACAAGAAGACATGTTACGACAAGATGAAACATGTTCACCTCAACCTAAACCTTAAACCCTCAAAGCCTCCATACCCTGAACTAAAGACTGCCAAGCCAAGGTCCACACATCGAGTAGCACAGGTAGATGAGGTTGGTGCCCAGAACACCAATTGCCTCGCCCTGCTGCTGTGCCGTCGGCTGGCTCATGCGAATGTGAAGGATCCTGCAGGTGCACGACAAGTGCACGACAAGTGCACGAGTTCAGACCCCAAAGGTTCATTTCCTGTTGTCAAGGTCCGCTTTACGAGCGTGGTGAGATCACACAGATGTGTGAAAGTATCATCATGAACAGCAGCTTGAAAGGAATCGTGAGAAATATTGCAGTATGTAGCAGCATGTGCAACAGAAAAGTTGCAACCTTGCAGAAACAGAAGGGCCACGGCAATCTACAGACACTGTCAGGCTTCCAAATTCGGAATTGGGCTTCATCTGCAAGGACTCGATGAACATGGCTAAGGTCACTTGGTGGCTTTACATTCTGGGTGCGGATCTGAAAACCTTAGCTTGGCACCCGACACCGTGCTTGGCGCTGCGCCGATCTCAGCCTGGTACTTGAGGCCAACCCAGCCTCACAAAGAGAAGTTCAGAAGCTACTTTCAAGGCACCTTCACCGTCAGGGTTCATAAGCAAGACATGGTCTGAGGGTGTGAAAACTCAACTCAAGAGAATCGGCTTGAGGATTCTAAGAAGCGAGGAGTAATTACAGACATGCAGGAGTAAAAGGGGGTTCATGCGGCCACAACGGCTTCAGGAGAAAGGGGCAAGAACACAGAGCAAAATCTCATTGAGCGAAATGCAGGGCCAGCTTTGTCGGGACCTTCCCCGCGCTTTCCTTGACGAGCAGACCTATGTGCACTCTCTTCCTTCCTGCCTTCCTTCCTTCCCTCCCTCCCTCCCTCCATCTCCCTCCCTCCCTTCCTCCCTCCCTCCTTCCTTTAATGTGCACGCAACCCGCCAAAGCTCACTCTCTCCTTTTTTTGGTTCTCTCTCTTTCTCTGCGCGCATGACGGGGTCATACCGAGGCGCGCTCGTGTCCCAGGAATCTGTTCGACAACCCGCCCATGTTTTTCATGGGCAGGCTGTGAGCTACGGCACATGACCGCTCGCGAAATCCACACATCTTTTCTCCCCCTCTCTCTCTCCCTCTACCCCTCCTCTCCCCCCCTCCCC